ATAAATTGGCAAGTAAGTGGTCATTAAATAGTACTAAAATAATAGGTCTGTTATAATTATTTCAGAAATGGAACGAAATCGTATCTGAAAGAATGCAAGCAGAAATTTTACCCAGTTTACTACAAATAGGTTCATCGGCTATTATATGGGACAGAAACAGGCCGCTCAGTGCCTTTAGCCAAAAGCCACTTTAGTAGCGTCTACAGAAAGAGTAGAAAACTACATGTATGGAGATGACGAGATGAAAATTTACATCAATTCCATATAATTTGGTTTTCTATTCTACAAGTAGACAAGCGCTAAATGGCATTTGGCTACAGCTGCAGTTATGTGCACCGCGCTTACCTCTCCGAGGATTGAAAGACATGATTAAACGTTATGTCATTATTTAAACTTGATATTCTGCAATGCAATAATCAAACTGGGCCTAATAACATACGATGTTTGCAGACCAATATTTATTTACAACAAGAGTAACTAATCACTACTCTTCTACTTAAAGCCAAGAATACACTAGGGGGGACGAATATCCTACAACATGTATCGGCAACATGTCAATCAAAGCCAGCCGATTTCGCCCAACATATTATAGACAACGCGACAACGAGCCTTATGTCCACAGTGACGTTGATGTTGCCAGATTTGTCGACCAAAGTCCGGCAACATCGTGCTACTTCACCTGACGTCGCTGACGTCACGTGACGCACAACATTATTCTTCTAGTGTATTCATGACTTAATACTTTAGGCACTTAAATCTATTGAGAATTATAAAAAAAGAAATTATAAATTAAAGATAACCAAGTAATGAATCTTGTTTCACCAACTTTGTACAAAACAAACCCTTTACAACAAGGAAGAGAGTATTAAATAAAAAAGTAGCGCCCGCCGACAATCTTTACAGTTTGACGTACTAAAAAGTTTTTCATTAACGACAGAATAAATTAGGCTGTGTGTACTTCGGAACATTTTTCGCAAGTTTCGTCTGAAAGTTTCGGGTTTGTCGGTACATACTTTTTATTTACGTTCAACTACCCTTTTTAATTTATAAGGAGAATCTGAAAGTTCTTGTTTGTTTCTTTTTTAGGGAAGATTAGTTGCATATTTGGAAAGGTGTGTTCCGTATCTATTATTTTTTATACGGTTTATATTTTTCAATATTGATGACAACATTGATATTATAATTTTAACTATATTGTGAATATATAAAGCAAGCTAAGCATTAAAAGGTGCAATCTGAAATATACTGATTGCGGTGCACAAGGTCCCAATATTCTATCATAAAGGCCATGCAGAATAACTGAGTCGTTATTATATTAAAAAGAACACTGTGTTCGATCATGTGAAGGGTTATACAAAACAGGACTTAAGAGACTTAAGAGCTTACCACCAAAAAATATATAGCAACACCTCAGCCCGACCTTTAGGACATTAAGAAATAACTGTTTAAGATTTTTAACTGCACAGTTGGTGCGGTGGCTCGGTAACTGATTTCCGCGCAACGTGTCGTGGGTTCAATTTCCACATGGAACAACTCTTTGTGTGATCCACAGATTGTTGTTCCGGGTCTGGGTGTCAAGTGTTTTTGAATTTATATGTTTGTAGACGCACCCACGACACAGGAGACAATTTTAGTGCATGTGGGCAACGTTTTAAATAAAAATTACCTTTCATCAACAATCATAACGTCGTCTCCGAGCTGGAAGGATGCTGTCCTGAGCATCCGATCCACGTAGCCAACCAATTCGATGGCTATACACGAAGAAGTCTCTCTCTGCACACATTTGTTCGTCAAACCTCGTTTCAACGCTTCTTCAGGGGATTTCTGAAAATAAGGAAGTCATAATTTAATTATATTTTATTAATTTTTTATGATGGAGTTTTTGTCATTAATTGCTGGAAAAATGGTGATTAAATATTGCTAGCGTTGTGCTATGTTTTTATAGGTACTAAGGTAGAAATATATTTTTATTATATGTTGTCGCTTTCGTTCGTACCTTGTCAAAAAGAAATAATATATATGGAGCCCAATCGAAATTTTTATTGTAGATGACCTGGGATGATAAAATTTAATCTTAACATTACTCCGACTGCGAGACGGACATTATACTACAAACAGTTTCGAATTTCTTATGAAAAATGTAAATTCATCTAACTGCGATGTATGTGGCAAATTAAGTGATGTTTATCATATATGCTGGTAGAGTGTGTTAAATTTAAGGTGGCGAGGGACTCACTGATGCAACATTTTACTTACAAAAATATGATTTGGAATCCTATTCTAGTATTTTGTCAGACCATTTAGTGAAACAAGTGAATTTATTTCTGCAAATAGGGTACCAGAACTTTCACATGTCAATTTTATCAAGCGAACGATGAGTTCGACATTTCATAACTAACTACTCTATGAAGAAATGCCGAAACAAACTCAGAGGTTTGTCTCTTTTTAAGCAATGCAGCACGATCTATTGTAATGATGTTGCAACAGTGATGACCCGCTGGTATTTAATATTTTTAACTAGTCTTTTATCAATTTAAAATGTTTTTAAATAGATAAGTTTGGACTACGATGGGGCTGACGAAGCCTATTGGTTAAAAGCCCCTGAAATAAAATAATATAAAAGAAATGAATATTATCAATGCGAAAGAGTGTTAGTTTAATTATGTAGATAGTTTGTAGGCCGCTTATTGTTTGTGAAGGATGGACGTATTCGTCAAATGACGCGACAACGTAGACAGTTACCCATACAAACCGAATTGATCAGTCAAAATACTACTGAGAATAAAATAATGTCGATAATCTCTCAAAGCATCGAAAAAGATACCAAAAATATATCGATACATAATTTCATGTTACACAAAAATATGCCATCGTACCTATGTATTATGGATTATAAACAGTGAATCATGGAAACAGTCATCTATTACATTTTGGATTTGGATTTATCATTCGGTTTGATAGCTTGGTTTTTCACGCCGTTTTCCTCAGTCTCACTTTATTTCGTGTTGAGATAATACAGAAGGTTTATAACAAAATAATGTTATAATAAATACAATTTTAGGTATTTTCGACTATTTGACTACAGAATAATTTTT